TCGCCATCGTTTCGGTTCTTAAAATTAGTCAATTTCTGCTCCACATCCACATTACGCTCCTATTTAGACATTATGTGAATCAATAGGAATTCACTATTCAAACAACTATACAAACCTTAAGAATTCCCACACAATCGACGGTCACCTGCATGTCGTTGTGAGGGTTGGCCTCCATGACGATCAAAGTGGTTCCGTCCACCCGTTTGGTCGTACATCGGGTCGAGTTCTTCCCCGATATCTTCGACGCCTGATAGAAGAGGTGTGAAGAACCCAATTGCTTGTCGTGTCCAATGAAACACTGAATCTTAACACAACTCTTGGTATAACCGCACAGTTTGACGACGGGATGACTTAAGCCACTCTTGTCTTTAATGGCGCCACGACTGCCTTCAGTCAGATATCGAGCTCTAAAACCAATTCATGAAATATTTAGATATAAAGTGCATTTCATTTACTTTTATCATCAAAGAAAGTATAAGTAATTGAAAGTATTTTTCTAACAAACTACTTGTTTTTAATGATTACATTATCTGTTTATGTGTTCAGAGTTAACGTGCGATTAACTAATAAATCAATAAAAAGCAATTGAATTGAATTGTATAAAAGCAATAATAAAAGGTTAATAAACATTTTAAGTTTGAAATTAATAAAATTGACACATTCATTGTTAAAAAAACTATACCGGTAATTATAAATGTTTAATAACTTTAATAAATTAAACAAGTTTATGTAATAACTATTGAAAAGCAGAGCCAATAAGATACAGATATTTAATTTAGCTTTTGGTTAAGAATTGTCAGGATCATTAATACTATTGATAGCTATTTATTAGATAATTAAGCTGTAATAAGTGTAGACAGTAGTACGATATACCGGTACTAATTAAATAAATCATGATATAGACGTACAATATTTGCATAATAGTGTTATTTCACTCAAATAAATGTCAATTAAATTGAACTTTGATTTAAATATTGAATATTTGGTTGAATTTAATCTCAATTTCATTGAATATCTAAACAATGAGTCGATGATTACATTGAACTCAAACTATAAACCAAAACAAACAAACAATTGATTACTGAATGGACTTTACATTACAATTAGATTACAATAAGACTGAATGTCTTGTGACATGTTTAGCGCTTTACCACATAATATGATAACCAATTTGAGACCAATTAAGTGATAATAATGTATAACTAGTAGTGAGACAAGTGGACAGACCTGTGCTGTTCCTCGGGTTGTGACAAAATCTTGAGCTCGTATTTGCCATTCTTGGATCTCGAGGAATACAAGTGANTCGAGGAATACAAGTGATTGTTGGCTTTCATGACACCCTTAGTGGTGAGGGATTGGGAGGCATTGGATTCGATGACTTCGTGGTTCACTTCCTTCATGAGTGCCTTCAAGAGCAGCATCTCGTCATCAAATCTGACCATTTTGTGCACAGAAGACGACAGATTGGATCCACAAAAGCCAGAGTCGTCGTCAACGTCCGCACCACTGCTTCCGAGTCTGTGATCTGTGTTTGTGTCCAACGGATGCTTTCGTTTACCACTTCTGCCCATCAATTGAATCAACTGTTGATTGCATTAAACAGTCATTTGAGATGTCATTCAAATCATACAAAACACACAATTGTTTACAAACTCATTGTCACCCACTCTATGACCACAACTCATGCGCTCACTAGAGGTCACTACAGGTCAACACGCGTTCAATGAGAGCTCACATCAGAATCGAGACAATTCTCTACATACTGTCAATGACCACAATGACCATGCTCATTATGTTCACTCATATATTTCTATTTAATTACCTGTCTATTAGGGATAACTAAAATCTAACTAAACTACACAATACTTATTAAATTTAAATATATTAAATATCTTTTTTATTATTTAAAAGTTAATTAACTAGCTTAAGCTTGCTATGAATAATTATTCAAATAAAAAATATTTAGTTAAAATAACTTTTTTACGTGATGTTAATACTGTATTTACCATTAAATCAATCAAGAGTCTTGATCCATGACTTAAAATTAGAAGTATTTCACGAGAATATAGAAATATTGGGCACAAAAACAAACAAACCGTCAAATAATAAGGCTTTACTAAAAATTTGTGTTTTCTTTTGGACGGAAATATCATTCATTGAAT